TTGATTTTTAATGAGGACACACTCACGAAATGGAGAAAAACTTAATCACATAATTATGATCGCTTTTGGGAGGCATGGAAGTGAGAATGCTCCCAATCAAAATTTTTATTCTTATTCTTAATACGATATGCTCAAAAACAGGAATAATTGATCAATCAGATAGTATTCAACAAAGGTGTGAAGAGCAGAGGAGAAACCCCTTTCTCCTATAGATAAGATTGGAGTGGTGATTTTATTAGCAACTTCGCCTTCTCAACTTCTGCCTTGCAACCTATCTATGATTATGAAGTGTAACAGGAAACTGTGTTGGAAAACAATAGGTAAATTATAATTACTTGGTAAACCCAGATTATTGTGTGTAGCCAGAAAACACTGCATGGGCTCTCAGCACTAGATGAGTGAGTAATAATTTCCTAAGGACTTGTAATAGTCTACACAAACCAAAAATTGAGTGACTTAATTCATGAAAATGTTCAGTAAATCCATCCCTGGCCAAAAAACCCTTCAAGACACAACTAGGTGATCAAACATCACTTATTCAGACATCTAACATACCATATCTAAGACTACCATTCCAGGAAATTTCTAACACTACATGTACACATGAATAGAAAAATCTTTCTCAATACACCAAGCAGCAGACACCTTGAACCACCAAAATCAATGATGAATTTGAAGAGACCATTTTTGTGCATTATGCATCCTCTGACCACTATTGTGTCAACTGCTTACTTCCAATGCACACTGTCTTTTTATCTATAATGAGAACCCCTGTCATATCCCATAGGGGGCTCCCCTCCTACCTGAGGGCAGCAAGGAAGAATGCTGGAGGGAAGGCAGAGTCTTCTATCCATAAAGTGAGGCTAGAGTGGAAATCACAGATGACTTTCAGGAAAGGGAGTTGGGGCAAACAGATTTGCAGGGCTCCATTGTTTGGCAAGAATAGATCCAGCAGAGAAATTCACACAAGAGGAAAAGAGGAAGCAAAGAACTCAGATTTGATGACCCTGCTTCTCCCTGCACTTCTGCACATACCATCAATTGTTCTTGGCACTTGTCTCTCCAGGGTGGTAAATAACCACACACTTGTGACTTTCTGCTTGTGTTGTACAGGAGAAGGATCGGATCTCAAAATCTGGGACTGAGTCTGAGTCCCCTGTGTTTCCCGGTGTCACCTTGGAGGAGACCTCAGAAGAGATGAGCCCTGGGACAGGGAGGTGGAGGCCTCACCCCTGCATTGTCATGTCTTGAGGAAGGAGCTCTGGGATCCCTGATATCACAGAGCAGGGCTCTAACTTGCTCCCAGCCTCTGTCCTCACCTCTGCTTCTTTCTTCTTCCACTTATTTTCTCTGTGCTGGGAAGCATTGGCTTTACCAGCCTCCTCTCCAGCCCAGCTGCAGCCGTGGATGTGGATGGTGCCAAGACCCCAGAACACCAGCCCTGCCCAGAGACACCCGGCTCCTTCTGAATCCCAGATGAATACACACTTCTCAGATGAAAATATACAAAGAGCAAATGGTACATGAAAAAATGTTCAACATCACTGGTCATTCAAGAATTGCAAATTAAAACAACATTGAGATACTACTTCATTCCAGAAATAAGGGCTGTCATCAAAAAAATCATCCAATAGTGAACACTGTGTGGTTATGTAGAAAAAAGAATGTAGACTGTATAGAGTGTTGGTGTAACCACTGTGGAAATCAGCGTGGAGACACCTCATAGAGACGCAGTATTGGAGGGAGCAGCAGACTAGAGAAGTGCGGTGGCTGGTGGTGAGTGTGGAGGGCTCAGTCCTCTTGCGAGCAATGGCAATTGGTAGGGAGCCATTTTGGAGTCAGGCAGGATAATCCTGGAATCAGAACTGCAGCTGGCTTCCTACTGCACTTGCTAGCCACTTTTCCTTGCCTCTTTTTCTTTTCTCCAGAGGATGCTACAGCTCAGCAGTAAATTAAGAAGACACACACAGGACTGAGTAAACTGCTCCTTCTTGATGATTGGCCAGCTTTCTCTTTGCCTTTCTTTCTTTTCTCTTTTCTTTTCTTCCCTTTCTTTGGTACACTGCATTCTCTGTGAACAGGATTAAAGACTACAGCAATGTGTAGTAAATGGAACACCAACCCTTATGCCATGACCTGTGGCAGCCACAGCCTGTCACACCACAGCCACTTACCAGGGGGCGAGCTGTTTGCTTGGTTTCCCAGTGCCCTAAGTTCCAACATGGCCAATCATAGTTGTATGAATGAATATTCTAACTTTTTGCTTTAATTATAACAATCCATTGCCTACTCTTTCATTGTTTCTCTTCTACCTTCTCTAGATCACCAAATCTTGTGGGATGATTCTTTGTTCTGCAGGCTCATTTCTGATTCACTTCTCTTTAGTTATCGCTGTATCTATTGCATTATCTATTTGTTTTTCCTTTTGAGACAGGGTTTCACTATGCAGTTCAGGCTGGTCTTGAACTTGCTTTGTGGTACAGACTGAGCTGGGATTCACTGTGATGTTCCTTCCTTAACATTCTGCATACTGGGATTGCAGGCATGTGCCACCATGACTGGCTCACTATCCATTTAAACTTTCCTTGCCTCAGGGTAAAATACTTCTACCAAAGGGAAGGACTTTAGATACAAGCTCCCAACTTATGATGGCTTTTGATAAATAAGTGTATATTTTGTTCCTATAATTTAAAGCACAAAATTATTAGTTACCACAGTTTGCCTGTTTCTAAGCTGTGGCTGATGCTATTGTTATTTCTCATTATACTAACTTAGCTAAGATGTCATAAATGTTGTAATCAGTTGTTCTTCTTTGTGTAACAATCCTGGGAAGATCTGGGATAATAACCTCACCATAGCCAAGCAAAAAAGGGTGGGTGACAGAACAAAACAGATACAGCATGTTGCTCTTAATTAATTGTGGAGCTACTGTAATGGATTAAAAACTGGCGGTCAACTTAACACCAGCTGAACTAAATCAGTGTGGTGCTGAGTATAGAGGGCCCACCTGAGGAAAGTTGCCAGCATAAATAGAGATGTTGAGAAGAGCTAGGCATTGTGGTTTCTCCTAAGTGTTGCAGGTTCAAGCCATTGGTTCTCCTGGAGGAGCTTATCATGGCTAGCTACCTTAATACAAGTTTGAGCATTATCAACAGAGGAGCTTCAGACCTTGTTGGTAAGTGTGTCTGTGGTACTCTTTGGAAAATCTCTGGTCCTTACATTGAACATCACTTCCTGGCTCTGAAGAGGGAGATGTATGCTGTTTAATCCATAGGAGAAGCTCATGGTGCTGGCTTCCTGGCATGTACTCAACTGTTCTTACTCTCAGAGGCATTTAGGACCTCCATGTCACTCAGGATGGCTGCAGTACTTTTCAGGACAGCCCAGGTCCTTATTTGAATGTGTCTTCTCAGCTCCAGTGTAGAATGCTCAACCTACCAGCATAGTTTCTTTACCCTGCTGGCATAGACTTTCTAACTTCCACCAATGAATTTTGGGCTTACCAAGTGAAGATGTGTAAAAGAGACTGGTGTGAACCCTTCTTGTGGACACTAGATGTTCAGTTAGACTTGTGGGAGGCATTGGCATGGGCTCTAGGTGTTCATGTGGTCTCATGCAGGACATTGCTGTAGGATCCAGGCTTTTGGCCTAATATTCTGTGTCTTTAGTGTTGTGGACATTTTTCCTGTACTTTCTTGCATTTAACTCTGGGTGAAAATCATAAAATAATATTATAAATTCTGTTTCCTGATTCTAATTGTTCTCACAATCCCAGACTAGAACACATACAATCTTTGGACAGACACAAACCAAGAATTTCCTCCCCACAGAAGACATCCCTGAGTAACAAGCATTTCCTACAGAGTCCTTGATACTAGTTATAAAGCTATCTACACTCAAAACTTACAAGAATAAGCACAGCAAACAAAGTAAAAGTTTTAAAAAAAATAAAACGAGAAGCAGAAACACAATGCACCCTCAGATTTCCAGTTTATCCTAAACCAGCCCAGAAGACAATATAATAGAGGAAAATGGAGGCCACACAGCAGATAATTCTGAAATGATAGCAACTAAAGCAAGGAAACTAATCCATGAGACTATAGATGAAATCAGATCAGAAATAATCTCTCAGGTAAAATGAGAAATGATGATCAAAAGAAGGAATAGCTCAGCAAATCTAGAGAAGGTATAGATAAAAATAGAGGAGCACAGAAAAACGATGGAAACCTTGAGTGCTCAATATAGGAAAGAAATAGAAGTGTGCAATGGTTTCAAATAGGTATTGTGGGAAGTAAAAATTCCATTGAAAACTTTCATAAATCTCTTAAAATTGAAGTCAGGCCTTGAAGAAGGGACCACAGCTAGTAATCATGAAAGGAAATATCTCTTAAATATCACAAGGTATCAGAAAAACACAGTCCACCTTCTGCAAGAGAATGTAAAGAAAAACAATACAAGACTCATAGTTGTCAATGAAAATGCAGAAGTCAATACAAATGACATAAAATGTACTTGCAGATTTAATACCAGAAATTTGGGAAGCATGGGAAAAGAATTTGACACAAAGATATGTCAGGAATGTAGAACTCCAGTTAGCCATGACCTAAATCAATCTAGGCATAAAATATTCAAGATTCTAGAAGGTTAGCACAAGAACAGAATATTAAAAGCCATTCACAGGATGTGCTGTGCACACCTGTAATCCAAGTATCTGGAGGTTTAGGAAAGAGAATAATCATGAGTTTTAGGCCAGCCTGGTATATATAATGAGTTCAAAGTCCACCCGAATAACATAGTGAATATTGTACTAAAAATGCTGTTAGGGGAAGTTATCCTGTGCATAATATCTGATGATAATGCAATGAAACTGGGAATTAATGGCAAGAGAAATGGAAAAAAATCTATTAACACATAGAAACTAAGTAACACATTTATAAAAATGCAGTGGGTCACACATGAAATTAAAGAAGAAATTGAACAGTATCTACAATTAAATGAACATGCAGACACAGTACAACAGAAGGTATAGGACACGATGAAAGTGGTCATAAGAGGGACATTTAGAGTGGTGAATTCTCACATCAGGAAAATAAAATGAGCAAAAACAAGCAATGTATTATTACATCTCAAACCTCTAGGAAAAGAAGAGGTAGTCAAGCCCAAAACCTATATGAGGGAGGGAAATATAAAGATCAGTGAAAAATCAGTGCAACTGAAACTAAGAAAACATCATAAAAAATGAATGAATTGAAGATTTGGTTCCTTGAAAGATTAAACAGTGTTCAGAAATCCTTAGCCAATCTGATATTAAAAAAAAGAAATGAAAGGCTCAAATTCATGCAGTGAAGAGGGAAGGTTGAAATTACTATGGATCCTCTAGAAATTGATAAGATCAATAACTAGTTTGAGAATCTTTACTCATTAGAGGAGTAATGAAGTTGGGAAATGGAAAAAATGAAGAGATGCTAAGATATATATGGATGAACTTAGTGGAATCAGGAAGATATAAAAATTACAAATAACATTATAACAGCTAATGAAATTGAAAATGTACTTAAAGTCTTGTCAGCCTCAGAGTTCCAGGTCCTCATGGATTCGATGATGAATTCTATAAGAAATTTAGAGAAGATATAATGCAGGTACTCCTCAAGCTCTTTAATGAATTTGAAAGGGAAGTATTCCTCCATAACTCATTCCTGTAGGCAAATATTAAACTTATACTAAAAGTGAGAAAATCCCAACCAAAAAAGAGAAAAACCAATCAAAAAAGAGAGCTTCAATCTCCAATGCAAAAGTCATCAGTAACAGACTAGCACACAGAATATGGCAAATAATTAAGATGACTATACATCATGACCAAGTGAAATTCACCCAGAAATGTAGGGATGGGTCAACATATGCATATGAATTTATTCACAAAGCCATACAAGAGTCACATGATCATCTCAATAGATGCAAAAAAGATTTTGACAGGGTCCAACTCCCATTCATGATAAGAGCGCTACAGGAAATCAGAATAGATGGTCTTTATATCAATCTGAGAAAAATCATCTATGACAAACTAATAGTATTACAATAACTGGACAAAAATAGGAAGCTTTTACTCTAAAATCAGCAACAAGGCAAGAGTGTCTCCTATCACCACTCCTGTTCAATAAAGTTCTTAAAATAGTAGCCAGTAGAAGAGAGATGAAAAGTAAGAAGGATAGAAAAAAAGTCAAATTATTATTTGGAGGTTATACTGTACTCTGTATTGAAGACTCCAAAAGCCCCACCAAAAGGTTTGTAGATTTAATAATTAATTTTAGTAGCATACCTGGATACACAGTCAACACTCAAAAATCAGTAGGATATCTGTACACAACAAATTCACTGAGAGAAAAATTAGGAAAACTACATTCTCCAAAATGACATAATTAAGGATCAATCTAAGGGAGTAGAAGATTTATATATTAAAAATTCCTGTACTCTGAAAAAGGAAATTGAAGAGAATGTCATAAAATGGATATTCCTTGCTCATGGATATGAAGAATCGATATAGTGAAAATGACCATACTCCCAGAATTGTTATACAGAGGTAATGTAATTCTAGTCAAGGGCCAACTTGTCTGCAAAGAAAGTTCCAGGTCCTCTTCCTACCTTAAAGAACTAGAGAAAGCATTTCTAAATTTTTTTTTGAAACAGAAGAGACCTAGAATAGGAAAAGCAAATGTGGACAGCAAAGGTAAAATAGGAGGCATTACAATTCCTGACTTGAAATTATACTGCAAATCTACTGTGATAAAATCAGCATAATACTGGCAAAACAAAACAAAACAAGGCAAAACAAAACAATCAGACTTGAGAATAAGTGCAACAGATTAGAAGATACAGAAACAACCTCAAACAGACTCAGCCATCTTTTCTTGGACAAAGGAGCCACACATTTTCACTGGAAGAAACATAGTCTCTTTCATATATGGTGCACAAAAAACTGGCGTTCCACTTGCTAAGGACTGAAACTAGACCTATGTTTATCACCATGCACTAAACTAAAGTCCAAATGAATCAAAAATCTAAATGTTCAAATAGAAACACTACATCTACTGGAAGAGGAAGTGGGTGGAAATCTTGAACATATTAGTGCAGGCAGTGAATTCATGAACAGAATCTAGATGGCATACAAAATACTTTGAACAGTCAACCACTGGGGTCTCATAATATTAAAAATATTTTGCACTTCTTAAGAAATGACTCACAGAATAAAAAGGCAACTCAGAGAGTGAGAAAAAATTGCAGCTAGTTGCACCTCAAAGGACTAACATTTAGAAGATAAAAATAGTTTAAAAAATCACATCTCCAACATTCAAAGAACCAATTCAAAAACAGGCATCTGTGATGAACATGCACTTCCCAGAAAAAGAAGGACAAATAGAAAATAAATATATGAAAAAATATTCTACATCACTGAGCATTCCAAATATGCAAATGAAAAAAAACAGTGGGATTCCATGTCACTCCAGAAGAAATGACTGTAATCATTAAATCAACATATAAAATTGCTGCTGTGGCTCTGGGAATACTGGTGAGGGTAGAGTATACTGGGGCAACCAGTGTGGAATTCAACTGGTGTGCAAATTCCTTAAAAACATAAGACTTGTGGTCCCAATTTGCTAAGCTATTCTCCATCTTGGTGACTTCCTAAATTTATTTAAAGCATCATAACACAATGATATATGTTCACCTATATTCACCACAGTACAGTTTATAATGGTTAAATCTTGTAAAAATTCCAAATGTCCTTCAATTGATGAAAGGATATAAATGTACTGGGAGTACTACTATTATGGAGTGCTACTCAGCCAGAAAAGGATACGGTACAGACATTTATTGCTAAATGGTTGGACTTCGAAATCACAGTCTCAAGTGAAATGAATTAGACACAGATGTATGTATATTGCATTGTCTGTCTTCAGTGAGACACTCAAAGTGTGGATAACAGCCAAATGTACAATAGATTTATTGAAATAAGAAGCAGTTGTTCGAAAGAGAAGGAGAATGAGGCATGGTGGAGGGGGAAAAGGAAGGAAGGGAAATTAAAAATGAGAAAAGATAAAATAGAGGCAAAACTTTGAAAATAAGAAAGAGAAGGGATTGAAAAAAGGGGAGGTTAATGGGGAAAAAAAGAGGAGTCAAGGCATCATGTAAAGATGCAAATGGCCTATGTTGAATTTGATCATTGTGTATACCCGAATTGTACCAATACATCTAATTAAATATTTTAAAAAAGCATAAAACAAATATTAAAATAAAAATATCTAAAAACAGCACTTGGTGGTTGCCAGAGACTGAGAGGTGGTGGATTCAGGAGCTGCTTTTCACAGGAAACACATTTTAATTTGAAATGTTGACCAGTTGTTAGCTAGATGAGATGAATGAGTTCACAGGACCAGTTGTAGTGGCAGGGTGAACAGAAATAACAGGATTGCATTGTCCAGTGGCAGGGTGACAGGATAACACATCAGTGTTTCAGTAAACTGTGGAAAGTCCCAAAACGTCAAATAACTTGATTTTTTTTTAATGCTGGGGATTGAATTCATGACCTTGAACTTGCCCACCAGGGGCTTAAGCCACTGAACTAAATCCACAGCCTAAAATATCTTGATTTAACACTAGCAAATTTTATGCATGTGTCAAAATCTTCTTCCTGTGCACCACGGATAGAAACTTTTTATATTTATTAATGCTTACAAATCTCAACTTCTAGACCTTCACAGAGTGAAGTGTAAGTTTCCAGTTTGTGAGTGAGAGAGGTCAGTCCCCAGGCTGAGGGGGGAGAAGTCTGTGTGGATGGGAGGGAGTCGGGGTGACCTGCAGGGCTCCTCTGGTCTGCAGTACAGTGTGCTGCTTTGTACACTGTGAATCTCATTTCTCCCCAGGGGACCTTGTAAAGCAGCAGTGATGTTACCCATGGAGGTAAAGTGACTTCAGGGAGTTGGACAGGCACCATCACCAGCTGAGTGCAGCCCTGCACATTCTAGGCCATCACGGGGAATATTGCTAATGCCTGTGTAAAGATCCCAACCAAAGTCCTTGCTCACTCTGACAACTCCCCAGAGCAAGCTTGAGACTCTTGTGTTCACAGGATCACAGAGAATGCTCCTTCAGGATGGTGTGGGTTGTCAGGGGAGAAGGAGGATTCAAAATATTTTTTCCAAAGTGTTTTTGCCCCAGATGTCAGGTGACAGGTGCAGAGCCCTAGGGAAGGGGGATCCCCAGAGCTCATGGATGGGACTGGAGGGGACCAAAGCAAAAGCAGGGAAGCCAGAGCTGCTCTGATCACAGGGACATCTGGGCTGAGTCAACTTCAGGACACCCTTATCAGTGCCTGCCAAATGCTCCTCGCTGTGCCGTCATCTTGCCCAGCAGCAGGCCCACTCCAGATTTAGCAAAGGGGTGTCCAGGCAGAGTGGGTGCCTGCTGTCCCCAGCACCACTTCTCCCTTCAGAGGGATGGGTGTGCAGACCTGATCAACCCTGCACTTTCTGCTCATCTGAGACCCAGCACTGTCTCTGTGCTTGGCAGACCCTGACATGTTTGTGTATCTGCTTTTTTCCTTAATATTGGTGCAGTCTTTGCACATCTCACAGTATGTAGATGTTCTGAGATGTTATAGATACCTGAAGCCAGGTCTCCATGGAGATGGAGACCTGATTCTGGGCGGGTTTTTTCCCCTTTACTACCTCGAGCAGCAAATACCCATAGTCCGGCTTTCTTTTTTAACCCGGCCATATCATAATGAAGTACCTCACAGGTAAGTCGTGTGTAAAGTGGTGTGATTTTTGTGTGTGAGTGTGTGTTTGTCTGCTGGGACATGAGGATGAGGGCTGTGTATTGAATCCCTTCGAAAACTACAGGAAATGCGTGCAAAAATGAGAGAAATGGGTAGGTGTGAATTCCACAGTTCTTTCTCAATGTACAAATTAACAAATTCCTTTTCCTTTTCCTCACCTCACTGATAGATACAGAGGAGAAAAATCAAGA